AAACAAAACAAAACAAAGAACTTTTGGAGCAAAGTTAGACAAATAGATCACTGGAACAGAATAACAGGTCTACAAGCATACCCATAGATACATGTTTTCTTTATTTACATCAAAGGTCTCTTTATAGCTGTAGTTACACAGGGGAAGATGATCTTTTTTTTTAGTTTTGTTTTTGCCATTGAGCACGTGTACTCCTCAGAGAGATAGTGAGAAAAGAAGTGAGAAATCACCTGCCAGGGAGCATGGCCACAACACAATCCCTTCTCCACTTTCCTCCTGGGATTTTGGGCACATATACATGTCCAGCATGATTTTCTTCTTAAGTTTTTTAAAAGTTTTTGTTTGTTTTCTGTAGGGCATGCACTCACCAGAGAAGCAGAGAGAGGGAAAGTGAAAAATCATCCCCGACATGGTATGGCCACACCACAACTGCCTATCCTCTACTCTCTTCTTGGGATTGAATATGCACACATGCTCAGCATTATTTTCTAAAAAAGAAAATTGATAAATTGGACTTCATTAAAATTAAAAACATCTGGGACCAGCAGTTAGCTGCTATGTCGCTGGACTCCCATGTAGTCGACTGAGGTTCAAGTCCCGGACCTGGTGGCTTAAACTCACACCGGGCGCGTGTGCGTGCATGCCCAAAAGCCTGAGATGAGAATGGAGGAGAAGGGATTGTGGCGTGGCCATGCCCTCTGGGGGGTGATTTCTCACTTTCTATCTCTCTGTCTCTCTCTGTCTGGCGAGTGCACACGCCCTATAGCAAAAACCTCTCCAGAAAAAAAAAAAATCAATCTGATTATCAAAAGACATCAGTTAAAAAGTAAAATAGGCAATCTGTGGACTGACAACTTGTATTTGCAATATATAAAGAACCCTTACAAGTCAGTAAGCAAAATACATTGAAAGCTTTAAAAAAATAATATACATATATTTCTTCCATAAGAAAGAGAGAGCGATAACACCCCAAAAGGGTCTTGATGCCACGATCCCCCCCTAGTCTTGGCTAGCCCTCAATCATGGGCACATGTGCCCTAGGTCTCAGGGAGGTCTTCTGTCACAAACTAGCAACCTTCCTATATAGGTGACCCTCACAGAGCATTGTATGTTATTGCTATTGCTCCAACACAACATTCAATTTCTTTTTCTTAGTGAGATTTTTGCTATAGGGTACATGTACTTGCCGGAGAGATACAGACAGAAAGACAGAAAATGAGAAATCACCCTCCAGAGGATGGCCATGTCTCAATCCCTTCTTTTCCACTCTCCTCCAGGTATCTTAGGCATGTACACATATGTGCCTAGTGGTAAATTTTAAGCTGCTGGGTCCAGGACTTAAACAGTGGTCAACTACGTGGGAGTCCAGAGATGTTACCATTATGCCATCTGCTGGTCTCCCAACATTCAATTTCAAAATTAGCAAATGACTTAAGTATTTCCCAAGATGATATTCAAATGACCAATACACATATTAAAAGGTACTTAGAATAATATGAAGGAAATGTAAATTAAAACCACTGTGAAATATCTTACACATTCTGCAAAATGGCTAAAAATGTGAAACGCATTATCAAGTGTTGCTGAAGATGTGGAGTAACTGGAACTCTCATATATTATTAGTTGGCAGTTTCTCATAAAGTCATATATGCCTACTAACTCTAGGAACCAGCAATTCCACATCCAGGCATATGTACACACACACACACACACACACAATTAGTTCATCCAGCTACCAAAAGACTTATACAAGAATGTTCATTATTCCTAATAGCCAAAATTGGAAGGAAAAAAAAAGTATCCATTAACAGGAAAATAAAACAATTTATGATACAATCACAAATTAGGAATGGGGTTCGTGTTACCTCCTATTAGACGGCTTCCCTAGTATCTTTCTCATTTTCCACAGTTCTTCCCCCGCATGCCCTACTTTTCCAGGTTCAACAGCTTTGGAGAACAGGACATCTTTTCCTCTCAGTCAGTTCCTGTATAGTGAGGCTGCATTCCTTCAGGCAGGTGGCTGGAAGCAGCAGGACGTACGTGAGCATGGCAGGGGCTGAGCTCCTTTTCAAGGTGACCTCCATCTCTTGCTACTCTTTTAAACATAATCATTATAATATGTTGCTAGAATCAGTTTTTGTTTTGATAAATGTATTTATGTCTGTAGCCTATATCCAATTATAAAGTATGACTGGCCAGAAAGTTCTCTTATGCCCCTTAGTGAAACTCTGTCCCCACCACACCCCAGGCAGCCACTGTTTTAGAATAAATCTATCTTTCTTTCTCTCTCTCTTTCTTTCTTCCTTCCTGCCTTCCTTCCTCTTTCTTTCTTTCTTTCTTTCTTTCCTTTCCTTTCCTTTCCTTCCCTTTCCTTTCCTTTCCTTTCCTTCCCTTTCCTTTCCTTTCCTTTCCTTCCCTTTCCTTTCCTTTCCTTTCCTTCCCTTTCCTTTCCTTTCCTTTCCTTCCCTTTCCTTTCCTTTCCTTTCCTTCCCTTTCCTTTCCTTTCCTTTCCTTTTCTTTCTCTCCTTTCTTGGGGAGAGCATGTGCTTGACAGAGGAAAAGGGAGAAAGCACTCCTGAATGGGGCATGGTCATGCTTCTTCAGCTCTCTTCTCCATCCCTCCATTGGGATTTGGGGTACTCACATGCCTGTGCCTGTTTTATTTTTATTTTTGTTTTTAGTGTTTTGCTATAGGGAGTGTGTGCTTGGCAGAGAGAGAGAGAGAGAATGAGAAATCACCCCTCAGGGAGGTGGCCACACTGCAATCCCTTCTCCTCCCAGGATTTTGGACATGCACCTGGTGTTTTTTTCAAGTCACCAGGTACAGGACTCAAACCGGGAAGTCGGCCATGGAATCTAGTGCCTTAACCACACCACTGCCTGCTGGCCCAATGCCTGGTATGTTTTTCATGCACCTGGATCCGAGATTCGAACTGTAGTAAACCATGCAAGATCCTTTGCCCTTAACCCCTAGGCTACAGTGCCAGCCCAGCTAGGTATTTTGGACAGGGTCTTGCCATGTTATGATCCTTCTGCCCCAGCCTCCCAGTCAGCTTGGATCAAACGCACATGCTGCTGTGACCACCTGGATTGTCCCAGGGCTTTCCACATGGCCCCAGCCTCACAACAGCACCTTACTGCTCCTGCCACCATGGCTGGGCCTGGAGTATTTTTACTAGCCAGTGAAGTTTTTAAAAATTATTTGGAAAACCTCTAGATAACTTAGGTGTGCCATTCTTGGTTATAGATTCTGTGGGAGTCACAGAACTTTTCCAATATTTCCCTAGATGATAATGGATATTTTTTTTTCCTGTAAGTTATTTTAAATTATGAAACAGGAGAACTGATCTTCAAACTTTAGAACAAGTGTTCAATACGAGCTTTTTATTGCCATAATACTGAATTGCATGGATCTAAGGGAGAATATATTTAATGGGCAAAACTTTTAAAGAAAAGAGAAAGCGGATCACTGTTGCTCATTCTCGTTTATCAGTAGTCCAAGGTAGGCAAAGCTCTCAATGCATTGTGCCACAGTGAAAAGGAAGCTCTCCGGCTTCAGAGTTGCAGGATATGATTAAAGCCCAGTGACAATAAACCAGGTTGGCCTTGGGGTCTCTCTTCCAGACAGTCCTATTCAACGCCGGCACTCCAGGCAGATGGAACCTTTCAGAGCCAGGGCAGATACATCCTGCGGTGCTTAATCATTCACATCTTGAGGCTTGCAGGTAAACCCCATTATCGAAAGGAGCTTGTGTCCCAAACAAGTATTGAATGGATCGCTAATTCCTTCCTCTGTCCCACTAAAATCATTTCAGAGCAGAGGACAATGGGTATTTATTGATTCCTTGTACTGACCTATGCCTGTGCAGGATATGGGGATGAAAGCATGATTCCCAGTTACAGAGTTTTATATTACATGGTTCTGTTTTATGGGGAACAGCAGGTAGAAAATTTGGACTAAGATTAGGCAGGTTGGGGAGGGACTTGTGGAAAAGGGAGAATTTGAACTAAGTCTTAAAAGATTGGTAAGATTTTTTTTAATTCACCTATTTATTCCATGTGTGTGTATGTGAAGAGAAAGAAACGGAGACACAGCATCCCTAACAGGGTCCTGATACCACAAAACACCCCCAGCTTCAGCCAGCCCTGATCCGAGCATACTCGGGATCCCACCATACTCAGGAGGTCTCCAGACACAAACTAGTAATCCCATGGGGTTTTGCCTTGCAGAGTGTTGCATTTTACCACAAGGGGCGCCACTGCCCTTTGGCAAGATTTTTGACAAATACAGGTGCGAAGACAGCCAGCCATTTTTCATACTACAGCCCAAGTGATCTTTCCAAAGCACAAGTGTGATCATTTCATTTTCTGGCTGATAGTCCCTCAGGGAGGAGAAATATTAACACCTGCTTTGTTTTATAAGATACTGGTTCCCAGCACAAAGTGGGTGAGGAAACTAAGGCCCAGAGAGGGGCCTTGTCCCCCGAGGTAGCTAGTTAATGGCCGAACTAGGCCAGAACTCAGTGCTCCTAGGGACACTGCTCTTCTTAAGCACATCAACAGCTATTCTTTCAGCTTAAACCGGCTGAACTAAAAATCAAGGTGCTAGCAGAGCTGTGTTCCTTTCTGGAGGCTCCAGAGAGAAATCCATTTTCTCGCCTTTTCCAGCATCTAGAGGCTGCCCACATTCCAAAATTTATGGCTCCTTCCCCCAGTTTTAAAGCAAGAGATGGCCCGTCGGGTCCTTCACACATCACTTCACTCTGACACTGACTCTTCTACCTCCTTCTTCCCTGGTCGGGAGTCTTGGGATGACCTTGGGCCCAACCAGATTACCAGGATAATCTCCCATCTCAAGGTCTTTACCTTAATCACATCTGCAAAATCTCATATGCAGTGTGAAATAACATAGTCAACAGGTTCAGGGGTCGGGATGTGGACTTTTTGGAGGGCCATTATCCTGGATGGAACCTCTAAGAGCTGCAATGAGGCTCATTCTGGGTCTGTTACAAGAAGTTGGGAACTGGAACCAAGTGCTGTCTTCATGGTAAGGAGCCCATGCTGGAGCACCAAGCAGAACAGGACGGAGCAACTCCCTGCACCCACCACTGTCTTCTAGTCTCTCTCTCTGGTTCCCTATTGGCGGGGCCTATCAGGAAGCACTGACTAAGGAGAATTCAGTTTTTCAGTTTCAGTCCAGCACTATAGAGCATAGTGTGGAAGGGCAGGTGTGAGGCTGAGAGGTAACAGCTTAGTAACTGGCAAAGAAGCACTGAAAAAATAGTTTAAACTACTGATAGCATGGAACTGCATTATATTCAATAACAGGTTCAGAACTCTAATACATAACCATCCTATAAACCAATAAGAAAAAGACAACCCAATAAAAGTGTGCAAAGAAGAGCCAACAGGTGGTATGGTGGTTAAAGTGCTGAATTCCCATGTGGCTGACCATGGTTCAAACCCTGGATCTGGCAACTTGTTTTCTCACGGTCCCTCTCTCTCTTTCTCTCTCCCTCTTGTAAGCACATGTGCCCTGTAGCAATTTTTTTTAATGATAATAATAAATAAAATTAAATAATTCTTTAAAAATTGGGCAAAGAATGAAAAATTCACAATGACTAATAAGCATATGAAAATATCCTTTACTCTATTAATGAGTACAGAAATTCTTAGTACCTAGATCCAGGAGGAGTTCGTTGTTTTGGTTTAGAAGATCTGATCCTTGGCCCTGCAAGTGGCATGAATGTTAAGGCAACTGGATCTCACATGCCTGTCTCCATGGTTTGAGTCCAGGACATGGCAGCCTGAAAAAACACGATGGGCACGTGTGTGTGTGTGTGTGTGTGTGTGTGTGTGTGTGTCCAAAATGCTGAGAGGAGGATGGAGGCAAAGGGATTGTGCTGTGGCCATCCCCTCTAGAGGATGATTTTTCACTTTCCTTCTCTCTCTCTGACTCACTCTGGTAAGCTCATGTGCCCCAAAGCAAACTTAAAAAAGAAAAACAAAAAAAACCTCCTAATCCTTGATTTTGGCACTGCTGAACACAAGTCGGCACATTAGGGATTAATAAATCAATGAATAGCAAGAACTTTCCAGGTACTTACTAGGAAGACTGTACCATTAGCATATAAGCCACACTAAGGAAATAGGCAATGTCAGATACATGGAATACAGAGAACTTCATCCTCAGAATAATAGTCTGCGCAGGATCTACTCACTGTGGAGCTCTCCCTTCAGGGATCCCAGCTACTTTCGAGACCACTACAAGGTAGCTCCGCCCCGTCCTGACAAGCCCAGATCAACCCCATATACCGCAGGCTGGCCACAAGCAGCTATCAGAAGTAGGCTTGGGGTGCAGGGCAGTGGTGTGCCCGAGCCACCTGGGAAGGGCACAGAGCCAGGGAAAGATCAGTTAGGGACTCTCAAGGCGATGATGAGCCATCGAGATCATATCATGTGTCAACATCAAATGAAGCAAACGAATCACTACAGTGGTTAGGGTCTATCTAGGCTGGCACTCAGTCAGGGACAGAGGAGTTTTTCTCCTTTTGTCCCATTCCCAAGCTGGCACAGGTTGTCTTTGGTGAGCTTTACTGAGTTCTTCAGACCAGCAGTGCATGGATTGGGTACCAGAGTACCCCAAAAAAGACAAAAAACCAAAACACCCCTAAAAACAGAAGAAAGTGCCTATGTCAAAGTCCTACTTCTAGACCCAGTTGAAGGCTCATTATCCAACATACTGCAGTATGGGACTGTAACCCTGCCACACCTGGAAGGAGCTATATCACCAGAAGGAGAGCAGCCTACCAGAGCCAACCTCCAGCACTCCCGGATTCCAGGCAGTGATAAAAATGTCCCTTGACTTTCCTACTCAGTTACCTTTTGGTCTCTCTAGGGTCACCTTTGGAGGAAACCTGGATCTACATTTCTCTTCCTCATTAACTTTCTCTTTCTCTGCCCACACCTGCCATGCTGCCACCCCACCTCCGACCTGGGTTCCTGGTTCTACTCTCTACAGTAGGAACAGACCTGAGCCCCAGATTCTCCTAAGAAGAGCATGCATCAGACCCACAAATCTTTCTGTTGAACTTA